CTTCAAATGACCGGTTTTCTACCTTTCTCAGTATTTCTCCTCTACCATTAGCCCAGCTATTACAGGCCATGATCATATGCTTCACATTCTGGGACGGATATCCACATTGGCATCGTGGATTATCTACTCCTGGAACTTTTCTTCTGTGCAGATAGGAATTGAACCCAATGTGTTCGCTTCTTATCTGCATGGCTATGCCGCTCTGGGCCCTGCTCAGGTGTTTATGGATACTTGAAGGTGTTCCTCTTTGGTTCATTCCTATCTTTCCCGTCTTTTCATCTGTAAAGATGTTTGCTGCATTCCAGATTTTGGGATCTACTGTCGCTTGATGGTTAGTAGGCTGCTTTGCTATTTGTTTCGTCCAGGATCGTTCCCATTCTTTAAAGGCCGCGACCTTTCCAGCCGCTTTCTGTCGTACCTTCGTCTCCATATTCTCACCTGTTTGACCCCACTCCGCAATATCCAAGGTCCTCGTGACGGCTCGTGCATCTTGCCTTCCAGCTCGGGGTTGTTTTATCTTCCTGCACGCCGACGATATTGTATCTTGAACAGGTTGGCTTTTCGATAGTCCGGCGTGTTGGACTCTCCTTTGTTTCAGATAGATTTCCATCGGCAAGGTAGAGATCTCATACTCAAGTACCTTACTGCTGGTCGAATTATACGCTCCCGTGACTATCTTTAGGCACATTCTTTGGATACTACGAAGCGGCTTAATCAACCTTTCGGGAATTTTGCCAGCTATTCCAGACTCGGCCTAAATGGGGGATCCGCAGGTGACAGCTGGTCTCACCACTGAATTGTGCACAAGTTTCGCCTTGTGGAACGTTGCACCCCAAGTTAATTGTGCCAATCTACCTAAGTCTTGTATTTGTGGTTCGAATTTAAGCTGTATACTTTTGAAATGAGCGCCCCTATTGAGCTTCGGGTCAAGGTGGATGCCTAGGACACGGAGGGAAGGTGAATTTCCTATTATTTCTGTGTTGGAATACACTTTGTCGATGCTACTAGGCTCGATAATTAGTATTCCCGACCGACTGGTGCTTGGCGAACTGAGATTGCATAAGCCCGTGTTGGCGTTTTTTTTAAAAACCATTTAATGTGTATTCAGCTATAGAGCTATGACACATGACCGGTACTATGTATACATGTTGGATGACTCTTTTGACGTTAGAGACACTCATACTCTGGATTTCATTTGCAAATACCACTATGAGGTATGCTCGCTTACACAAACAGTCGACCCTCCTCCGTAAGTACCTACCAAAGGGAATTTCGAAATCTTTGGTTGTCCAAGCATGCCTTCGTCATCCATGCATACCAGCGCCGCGAGAAATGTGGTTGTGTTTTGCCGGATTGGAAGCAGCGATCTACTGTCCCAGGTGGCATATGTGTTCAAGCTATCCAGACTCGGCTTGGCAGACCGGCCAAGACGATGTACCACCGCACCATCCAACCATGGCGGCGTTTATAGTGTCGCCCGCACTCTCGCAACCGAAGCCTTGGCACGCACAGAGCTAAATTTGTAAAAGCCCCTTGCCAAATTTCGGAATTTCAAGCCCTTCAAGGTTATATTCTTCCTTTGCATCATCTTATCGACATTTTCTGACTCCCCTCACGCCCATCCCCAAAGAACTGTCCCCCAGATTTGTGCGTCACGCTTTGCTTCCTCCGTCGGGTGTAAATATCGGCGTGAGCGTGTATTTGGTGACGAGCTGAGACCAGAGAAAGTCGACAGTAGGTGTGGTGATTGGAATGAGGATGTACTTGGTCGTACTTGTAGACTTGATGAGAGTTAGGTAGGAATCGATTTCGTTGAGACTGAAAGATTGACATGGTGGAGTATTTTGAATCACTGCCTCGTGGGCCAACTTCTTTGGTATCGCGAAATTTGACTGATCTTGGCTCTGGGAGAATATTTCACTCCCAGGCTCGTGGAGGACACGGCGTACAGGTGTTCAGTCTTTGCCCTCCTCTACAGTTATTCACTGGTGGAACATCAAGATTATATAAAGATGCTGCGTAGACTACTAAGTCCAGACCCAGTAATAGACATCAAAAAATGGGAATTCCATGAACAGAGTATCAAGTTTTTAGGTTTCGTTGTATCTAAAGTTATCGAAATAGCCCTAGTCCCAGTGCACAACAGATATTTTCCGGTTCTTAGATCTTGCAGAGTTTGAAAGTTTTATTCGTGATTTCAAGCTACTTGTCATTCCCCTGATAGCCATGATGAGAATCGTCTGGCCTTCAACTGGGGGCCGGAACAACGAAATTCAGTTGTGGAAATTAAAAGGAAATTTGGGGAAAATGTTACACTTTTAAATTTCGATTTGGAAAAGCCTGCCCGATTGTAAACAGATGCTTCAGACTGTGACACGGGAGGCGTTATTCTAAAGCCAGATGAATAAGAAGATTGAAGACCTGTAGCCTTCTTCTTTAAGAAACTGAGTCCGGTAGAATCGAGTCACGGGTTGAATGATTCGCAACTTCCAGCAATTATGCAAGCTCTTGACAAGTGACGATCTGAACTAGAACGAATCTCTAATTATGTTGATATGGTTACAGATCACAAAACTCATGTTAAAGGATGATACGTTAGTTTCTTACGAAGATATGTCGGAAATTATTGAAATGTATAAGCCACTACTTAGTTCGTGGACTTATTGGTAGATGGAAGCTTATGCAATCAGGAAGGACGTCAATTCGACTACTCCTCTAAACACAGGTACCAGACTCATTTTAATCCCAATAGATAGCCTGTGCGGGATCTTCTATTAACAGCAGTAAACAACGCTAACACAGGTGGAGGGCAAGACTGAACACCTGTACGCCGTGTCCTCCACGAGCCTGGGAGTGAAATATTCTCCCAGAGCCAAGATCAGTCAAATTTCGCGATACCAAAGAAGTTGGCCCACGAGGCAGTGATTCAAAATACTCCACCATGTCAATCTTTCAGTCTCAACGAAATCGATTCCTACCTAACTCTCATCAAGTCTACAAGTACGACCAAGTACATCCTCAGTCCAATGACCACACCTCTTGTCCACTTTCTCTGGTCTCAGCTGGTCACCAAATACACGTAAACGCCGATATTTACACCCGACGGAGGAAGCAAAGCGTGGCTCACAAATCTGGGGGACAGTTCTTTGGGATGGGCGTGAGAGGATTCAGGACAAGTTCACAAGATGATGGAGGCATGTCTGAGTAACTCAGGGTTTTTGAGACGTTCCCCTGGATGGGAATTCAAGGATGAGGGTTGCATGTGGGTGAAGAAAAGGCCACCACAACTTTGCAGTGGTATTTGTAAATGAAATCCGGGGCATGAGTGATCTTGTAAATTGAGTCATCTTCTCTGTGCTTTTCCTCCAATATTGTTGAGGTTTCCTGTGCACGTTAGTAAGAATTAAATGGCAAATGTTGACTGTGAAAATCACGGATGTCTCGTGGCTTCGACTACAACAATCTGTGTGTGTATCGAGCTTGAGACTGTATGAAAATTTGCATTTCTATTAACGTTCTAACCCCTCCTTGACTGCATGAAATTCCCTGTGGTCCAGATAACGTAATGATCAATAATACATGGCAAAGTGAACTATCAGAATACATTTGGGGAGGATCGGGACTTCAGCGTTTCGCTCGGACTTGGAGTTCAGGATCCTCATTGTGTCGCAGCTAGATAGCTGCATACGCAATTAAAATCTGATGAAAATGTGTAGATTCCTTCCACAGGCGGCGATCTTCACCCATGTCAGCGCATGCCGTAACGCTGATGCAGGTTTTCTTTCTAAACGGCAAGTGAGGGCGCTATGCGTTCTGTATGCTGCGAAACTGACTGGATTTGAGTTCTCGATACCCGCAGCGGCATTCGTCTTCAACATGATATGCTTGCACACATCATGTCTAGGCTCAGCTTAACGCAGAGGTCAGGCAGATTTGTTCACATCTGCATTCATCCAATGATACGCGTACACATACACCAGGCAGCGATAAATTCAGCGAAAGATGGGCCATTCAAAGTTATCCCTTGTTTGCTGTGCCCAGACGTACAGCCAAGCGACTCCATGGGTTCAAGGGGCGGTGCAATAAATGCTGAATGATAGGACGAGACTTCTCCAATAGAATTATAATTGCAGGTGTAAATCGCTGTAGTCACCAGTTTTAACATACAAGATACAAGGATGTTAGTTCTGGCCGGCCACAATACACCATTCGAGAACAGTTGAATTCAGAAGAATTATTGGAGGTTATTTACATGTCTACCTTTAAATCGGGAGGTAGATTTTTCCGTTCATTTACTTCACGTAGATGGCCCGTTGATGCTAGCTTCTCCGATTGGTGTTGGTCGGCCATTCCGAGTGTTCATTGTAACCTGGCCACTTGCCATTCAAATAGAATTGTAACCTAGAAAACATCAGTAATTACTATGAATGGAGATATCGGATCAACAGCGACAGGGAATATTTCGTGCCAGTAATCTCCTTGATGGAAGCCGAGATGCTTTTTGTTTCAAATTCATGGAACCTGTATTTTATCTAGGTTCCTGAAGTGATAAGTCGCTTTTTACCGGGGCTTAAATATGTGATTAGATAGCGCTTCAGGCTACATTGGGATACATGAGCAGCTGTGTGGCGTGAATACAAGGAGTTATTGAATGATGACCTACCCCTATGTGGATTCGTGATCAGTTACATTGTGGCCTAGATTTTGTGCCACATAATTATTTACTTAAGCCGTCTGATTTCCGTCTACATCCAAGCACGAACAACAAAGCCCACAACACTTAACTTATTTCCTTCTAGGGAAGAGGCGCCTATTGTACGACGCATCGTATCTTACAGCATGAAAATCCGAAAATTACAAATGACTATCTTGAAGTCAACTTTTCTCTTTAATATCTAAATCAATACACCCCAAGGAGGCTTGATCACGTTGCAACACTTTACCATATAAAAGAAACATCAGAATATTTTCTTTATTTACACTTATTCCTTCTCGGAGCGATGCCGTCCGGCATGCCCAAAATGACTCGCTGTGCGCCTGGTACTAAGAGTCACGGACCTGGTAAGCATTCGAAAAATGTCTACTACTCTTTGATTATCATGCTTACACAGAGACACCCAAAGACGAAGTATTGGACGTGGCGTACCTGCAAGGACTACTCGGCGATGTAAGGACGGGAATCCAAAATGGGAAGGGGAGAAAGCGGGAGCTGTCGGATCAAAATGCAAAGCTTCAAAAATACGTCAAAAATCTCAGACGGGAGGAGGAAGAGCTGCTTGCAAAGATCGACTACATAAAAAATGAGCTCTGTAAAGAAAAGTCACGAGCAGCGTGGCTAAAACAACATTCAAAGAGGTCAAGCGAGTCCCGGTCGATGGGGCAAAATTCCAATGGCTTCCAGCACTTCTTGCCGGACAACCACTGGATTCACCACTCGTCTTACCCAAAAAATCGAGTGTTTTCTCCAGCGCCATATAGTCAGGTCAGCCCTAGCTTCATGAGCCATGGAGGATTCGTGAGTGCATATCCGCCTCAACATCCACGGCCACATGGAAACACGTATCATTTTCAACATCCACCAGTGCCACCACATCCACCACCGTCAAACTACGTTCCAAATCCCCACTATCCTCAGTCAGGAAACCCACTGTACACTGGATTTCCAGGCTCTCAATATTACCCAGAAAGGATGAGAGTGCTACAATACGTCTATCGCAGTAAGTGGTGTCGAAAATTCAGACTCTTTGTGTCTGAAGTTTCCCTATGATTGGAACAATTAAGATTCTTAAACACGACTCAAGACCTGATTCACGACCAAGATGATTGAAACCTTTATTGAGCATATATGATGCTTGAGTCTCAAATAGTGCATGGTATGGTTAGATATCCGTGTAGACTTTTATCCACCGACCCTGATCCAAAACTCATGTAATTTACTACTATGCATTTCATCGACACTGTAAGAGTATGGAAAGAGTACCGGATGGAATCTAATTTGGATTTGGTCTATCAAGGTTACATAAACGCGTCTAGGAATCATCATACGGATAATCAAATTTATTAAGAAAGGAATGATCCCAATCGTTGAGGTTGTAGAGCACTTTGATTCATTTAATTACCCAAATGAAAGCAGGTACAGAACTTGTAGTGGCATGTTTATCCACAACGTCGCCTACTTCATAGCCCCATTTATTCTTAATGATAACAAAATTAATTAATTTAATCTACTTTTTATTCCTCCACAGCACATCACATATTATCCCGATTCATACTATTATCATCAAATTCCTTAAGCCCACATCTCTTGAGCCGCCGTAATTATCTAACCCATACCGATTTCCAAAAAGTGGGCACAAATTTTCATCTCGGGTGTATCATGTGTCGAAGTTTACGTTGAATTGACGAATTAAAGTTAAGAGGTGTTTGGTCGAGTGGCTACCTGGAAAACAAGAGCGACTCAAAGGCTAGTCTTTGAATCCAGAATCGGATGAAGGCGACTTTGGAGGTAGAGCTCTAGAGGTAGACTAAGGTGAAATAGCAGTTGATGTTTTACTTGGGGTTTCAGGTAAATACAGGAAAGAAATATTTGATATCTAACATTGTTGGCTTGGGAAGAACAGATCCACAACAGCCAACACTGGAGAACATTACTGAAATCCAGATATTCAGATGATTTACGTATATGTATTTATTGTCATACTTGAGCCATAGACTATCAAGTACAATGGGCTCCTCTCTGGCCCAGGTTACACCTTGTGCAGTGCTCCTTACCTCTCACGTTTCTTAAAAGATCGTTGATTTATTACCCGTGATGAATAGCCATTCAGTTCAGTATCTACCCGTGGAATTCGGCCACCTTCTCCACGGAACCTTCTACCCAAAAAATGGCAGCAATGGAAACTACGTGCGCGGGAAAAAGTCTCAAAAACCTGCAGCCCTAGCCAGGCGAAGCCTAGATACCGGGACCACATGAGGTGCGCATATTCATTTATATCTACCTTCCTTGTAACAGTTGAGGCCGACTTGATCCAATCCGCCATCTCCGTATCCGCTGGCTTTTCCTCTATGATCATTGGCAGGTGATGAGTGGGGCTCCGACCCTACCATCTGATCTGATCGCGGATAGTTTCATGATAATGGTGATAGGGAGTTGTGTTAAGAGATGAAGACGATACCCACAGTGGAAGCCATTGGGAATCATCATCGAAGTAAGGACTTTATGATTCTTAGGGTGACGAATTCGCACTTGCATAAACATGGGGGTTTCATGCTTTTCCCTATGTTAGGTACGTACATTAGAGGTTATTGGCCGTAAGGGTTAATCTTGAGTGGTATCTGAAAATGGAATCTGAGTGTGAGTGTCCCATACATCGAAATAAGGCATGCAGTACAAAACTGTTGCGGTTTACCCGTTGTTTAAGCTTAGGTGAATACCTAAGCGCATTGTTGAGGACTCTGAGGATAAGACTGTTGGGATCAAGCAATGTCAAAGCACAGTGAATATGGGCAATGCGTAGCCGTGCGGTAATTAATCGACCTAAGGAAAAGGTATAAGCAACGAGACTCATAGAGTGGACTGAATGTTATAAGTACCTTGTAGCTGTAGTTAGATTTCTCTTCTCCATAGAGTTTGATTTTGAATTTGATTTCATTATCCTGATTTGGCGCCATATGGGCCCATGCAGGTGTCTATATACTTTCTAATTTACATGGGAGAAAACCTTTTGGTGAAAACCCCCCAAACCTTCCTGCTTAATTTCTATATTTTTTTATAAATTATCCTTTAGGAAGCGCAGTTACACTATAGTGCCTTCCACTTAACCCAATCATATCAGCTTTATCGACCTCAAGAAAGGCATGACCTGTTCCTTTCCCTCAGCAGCATTTCAACCGCCTTTGTCATCTAGAATTGCTCTATCCAACCATGATTTAGGATCAACTGTGTTATCCTTTTGAGATCTCCAGGATTGCTTAGCATAGCTTCGTAGGACCGATCTTTCGCTTGTCTTCAGATCTCTCCTCTTCCGTTTGACCATCGAGGGCAGGACATAATCATATGCTTGGGTTCTGCGATTGGTAGCTACATGGACAGCTTGAACTGTAGACTCCGGGTACTTTTCTTCTGTATAAATACGAGTTGAGCTCCATGTGCTCACTTCGTATTTGAATTGCTAGACTGCTTTGGGCCCTTGTCAGGTTTCGGTGGAGTAGGAATGGTGATTCCTGGAGACTTATTTTCCATCGATCCGACTTTTGGTTCTGATAGAACTTGACTGCTCTCCAGGTTTCGGGGTCGGCGATTGCTTTATGTCGAGGTAATTTGAGCTGCCTTTGGTTTTTCCAGGATTTAGCCCATTCTTGGTATGCTGCAACTTTTCCTGCCTCTTTCTGCCGTTTTTGTGACAGGTCTTCCCCACAAATTCCCACCCAGTTTACCAGATCCAATCTCCTATTATTGGCTCGAATGTCTTCTCTCTCTCGTTTGGGCAGCTTGACATTATCACAGGCAGATTGTATTAGCTTCTGAACTGATAGGTTTTTCGAGCGGCCAACATATTGGAGTCTTTGCTGCTTCAGGTAGATTTCTATCGGTAGGGTGGCAGTTTCGTGTTCGAGCACTCTCGTGCTAGTGGACTTACACGCTCCTGTCACTATTTTTAAGCAGTTTGTTTGAATGCGTCGAAGGGGTTCCACTATTCTTTCAGGTATTTTACCACCTGGCCGGGCCTCGGCCCAAATCGGGGACCCATACGTGAATGCCGGTCTCACTATTGTGCTATACGGTAGCTTTGCCTTATAAAATGTCGCACCCCATGTAGACTGTGTTAACCTGCTCATTACCTGGACCTGTGTCTCTGCCTTAAGCTGTATACTTTTGACGTGCGCTCCCCAGTTTAGCTTTGGTTCGAAATAAATACCGAGGACGCGGAGAAAAGGCTGCGGGACTGTCGTGTGACCTTGTATTTCGATTGTTGCTTTCAGATTGTGTCTTTTCCTTGATCGTGAGAAGTGCATCAGCTGGTACTTCTCGGGCGCAAATCTAACCCCATGCTTTATTACCCACTGCTCGCAGACCTTATGCTTCTTTTCCAACTCTCGGCAGTTTTCCTCGGTTGACTTCTTCATAGAGTTTATTAAATCAATTTTTTCATCACCAACTCGGTTTCTATCACAAAAACACATATTCGCTGAAATTATCTGAAGTGTCCCTCAGCGCGCTAGATCATAATAGTTGAATACTTTATTGAAAGAAGTCTTCTGGGCGGCCTATCCTATAGCTTGGTCTTGGGGCGAAGAAGCGTTCATAACTTTGTGGCAGTACTCGTGTTCGAAATTCAAAAATGAGTGATAAGTATTGAAATTCAGTCAGTCATTCAGTACATTACAGTCGATATTGTAGCAAAGCCGGTTATATGCATAGGAAATTTCAATCTGACGCAGAAAAATAAAATTGACATGATAGAATAGAATAGAATTAAATTTAAATCCCTACTGAGTCTATGACTATGAAGGACTGCTAAAAGTAGACATTAATCCACCAAAATTCACTTGTTTTTATGTATACTGAATTGACATGATAATTATGGTCACATTCTTTAATGTGTAACCTCAAACTTACAAAGATTAGGATTTCAAGGTATCCTCGGGAAAATTTAAACGTCACTCGAGTGTGAAAGAGCTGGACTGCCTGGCATTTGAAAATTACAGCCGAAACTGTGTTGAAGCTATACTTGAGACTTGATGGGCGGCATTACACTCGCCATGATCCAATCCGTTGCAGAATGATATTTGAAAACAGTATCCAGAGGCGGTCAAGTATTTGTCATAGCCACAGATTATTGCAAAAGCTTTGAGAAAAAACTAAACCTAAGCTATAGTTCTTCGGGTTACAAGCAAAAAGGGCGAGCACTAAATCTTCCGAGTGTAGGGGATGGCCCGTTTTTCTTGCCAATTTCCGTGAGTGTAATTGTACGGATAGCAAGCTGTTGAAGATAAGCTGATGCACGTAGCTCCGACCGCATATGTAATTAGACATAGGGCCCACTTTAAGGTTATTGGTGACAGCGGTCCGCATCAGACCTTGTCAAGGTTTCTATATGCAATATAGACTTTGCCAATACGAATAACGGAGACATTATGTGGAGATGATGCACGTTAATTATGTGAGACGTGAAGCCACACAACATACATCGAATAAACCTTGGCGGTACATTTTCCGAAAACTTAGACAGAAAAATGGTACAGGGCTGTTTGGTAAATGTGAAAATTATTTGACCTCCAAGGATGACACCCATAGAGAGAGTTGACTTCCATACAGAAAGACGGGCTTGACTAACAGTGTAATCACTTCATTCAGAAAATAAAAAGACCAGGAAAGTTTTCCATCCCAGCTGGAATATATCAATCTTTGCACCAAGAGAGCTGTCAATGTGCACCATTGAAGACTACAGTTATCATTACATTGTCTTCAGGATTGTTTTA